TTACTGTGAATTGACATTTGTTTATATCATATTTCTATCCCACCTTTCCCCCCAAAGGTAAGGTAAAGGTAAAGGGACCCCTGACCATTAGGTCCAGTCGTGACCGACTCTGGGGTTGCGGCACTCATCTCGCTTTACTGGCCGAGGGAGCCGGCATACAGCTTCCGGGTCATGTGGCCAGCAGGACTAAGCCGCTTCTGGTGAACCAGAGCAGCGCACGGAAACGCCGTTTACCTTCCCGCCAGAATGGTACCTATTTATCTACTTGCACTTTGATGTGCTTTTGAACTGCTAGGTTGGCAGGAGCAGGGACCGAGCAACGGGAGCTCACCCTGTCGCGGGGATTCGAACCACTGGCCTTCTGATCAGCAAATCCTAGGCTCTGTGGTTTAACCCACAGCGCCACCCGCGTCCCAAAGGAGCTCCCCATTTAATCCCTACACAACAACCCTTCCAGGTAGGTTAGGCTGAGAGGGCTGTGCCTGTCACCCAAGATTACCCAGTGAGCTCAGCTGTGGCCGAGTGGGGAGATTCGAACCCTGGCCTCTCCCAGCTCCTGGTCCGATGCTCTAACCACTACACCACCGCTGCCTCTTTTTACGCACACTCTTCTCTGGCCCAGTTCTGTCAACTCTCTCTCCTCTTTCTCTAGCACAACTAGAGAATCGACTGCATTGAGCATGGGGGGGGGGATATTTTCAATCGCCCGGATTCCCCTCCCAGGAAATATTCACCGCAAAGATGGGGACAGCACTGCGTGGGAACAGTTGGGTCACCATAACGCCCCTTCCAACTTGCCGCCCTGCTTTTGTCTGCTTCCCTCGGACTTAAAAACGGCAACGGCAAATGAGTCACTGCATTTTGAGTCCACCTACGCACATTCTCCAGACATAGCTGCTGGAGCCACCTGAATATTGTGGGTCCCCAGAGTCCCTGAGCTCTAAATCCTCCTGCTCAGATGTTTGTGGCCGGCACATCTCTGCCCTCAGCTGTCAGGGGGATCCCCAAACCCCACAGCCAGGCGGAGAGGCTCAGGCCTTACTGAATAGCTCTTGTGCCGTATAAGGATTGCAATTCCGCTTTGATCGGTGGAACAGGCACCCATACATGCACCATGTAATACCCATTGCACATTTTAAAGAACTGTGGGACTCCCTGCCTCTTGACATCAACCAGGCAGCTTCACTGTGCTCTGTCCGGTGCATGCGTGTCCAGGGACTCAAGAAAGTTGAGTTTAATAATAATAATAATAATAACAATAATAATAATATTTTTTTATTTATACCCTGAGCTCCCTGGCCAGGGCCGAGCTCAGGGCAGCTAACACCAAATATAAATTACAATAAAACGTAACAGAAAGAAAGAAAAAAACAACAGTTGCTTAAAATATGGCTTAAAATGCAGTCTCATTCTAGTAGCAGTCCATAAATCAAGACCATAAAGGGAGGGAACATCAGATATTCACCCAAGCCAGCTATCCATGCTGGTCCTACATGGACCAGCAAAAATGCCAATGGAAAATTTATATACCAAATCCCGTATAAGGGGTCAGAGTGAGTCCAAGCCAAAGGCCAGGGGGAACAGCTCCATCTTGCAGGCCCTGCAGAAAGATGTCAAATCCCGCAGGGCCATGGTCTCTTGAGACAGAGCGTTCCACCAAGTCGGGGCCAGTGCTGAAAAGGCCCTGGCACTAGCTGAGACTTGAGAGTTTAAATCTGTATTTAGTCTACTGCTGTGTTAACCTTTCAAATGTATTCAATCATTGTTGCTAATTCCTCTTAGTGATAATTTTAGTGTTTCATCTTTCATGTAATCTGCTATTTTATTTGTTTGTTTGTTTGTTAAAATCAAGCGGAATATAAATTTCACGAAATGAAATGAAATGAAATGAAATGAAATAAGCAACAAAACGAATTGCCTTTCTGCACACAAGGACCTAAGCTAACCTCAGCATGGTCAAGGATTGAAGAGGGTTGTGTAACATCAGCCCCTGTCATTGGCGGGTAGTATAAAGTGTCTTGATTGGCCAGGCCTGTTGTCACTCCAAGGGAATCTTGCCTTACTCTGGTTAACATTGGGAGGGATGGAGGAGAAGGATGGAGGAGAATTTTCATCTGATCTACCTATTGAAGCAAAACCTACTTTTAAAAACTTTTTTTTTACACCACCCAGCCTAATAGACCGACTGGAAACGAATCATCCTTCAGAGTTCGCGCTTTATCTGAATTTTGTGATGCAGTCCTTGGCTCTGAAAAATGCACCCTGTGAGGTCCCTGCGAGGATTTGCGGGGAGGGAACCCAAAGGACGATCTTCTCCGTTAGAGGTGCATCTGTCTCTGTTATGTATTGAGTTGAATAGGATCCAAAATGCAGCAGTCTGATTGGTCCTAGAACAATAGGATTCAGAATGCAGCAGTCTGATTGGTCCTAGAACAGTAGGATTCAGAATGCAGCAGTCTGATTGGTCCTAGAACAATAGGATACAGAATGCAGCAGTCTGATTGGTCCTAGAACAATAGGATTCAGAATGCAGCAGTCTGATTGGTCCTAGAACAGTAGGATTCAGAATGCAGCAGTCTGATTGGTCCTAGAACAATAGGATTCAGAATGCAGCAGTCTGATTGGTCCTAGAACAGTAGGATTCAGAATGCAGCAGTCTGATTGGTTCTAGAACAATAGGATTCAGAATGCAGCAGTCTGATTGGTCCTAGAACAATAGGATTCAGAATGCAGCAGTCTGATTGGTCCACAGGAGCCACCCAATCCAGCTCCAGGTGGAAGTGAATCGAAAACATGAGGACACTCCAGGTGGAAGTGAACGAAAACATGAGGACACTTTTGCCAGAGCATGAGTGGAACTTTATAATGTGCACCAGCATCCAAGGAAATGAAAGGCCAGTCCCAGAAGTAAGTGCCAACTTGTGGATTTGAGTAACAAATAGTCTTCCTTCTTTCTTGGACCCGGACCAAAAGAGAGCATTTCTCTCCCCTCCCCTTCCTTGAGTCCACAATTCACAGATGCTGAGGACTCATCAGAGACAGGGGTGGGCGGTGGAGAATGTCAAGTTTTTAAATAGCTTCCTCCTGCCACTCAGGCGCAAGCGGCAGAGGGTATTTTATTCCTCGCCACGGCCTTCCAAGCAAGGAACCGGGAAGACACCTCCTCTCCCGGTGCTTCCACAGAAAGAGAGATTAGAGGGATGATGAGTTGCTGGAAACATCGTGTGGCGTGTTGACATAGGCTTTAATCCGTTTTCAGTTGATTGCTGATTTTATTTTTCATCCTTTAACCATACCAGCTGGTAATTTTATAATGTTATTCCCTTTGCAAACTGCTTCAGGGTATTTTTTTTCCATTTGCGTATAACCAAGCGGTGTATAAATTTTAGGAAATGAAAGTTCTCGGGTGGCGCATGAATGTGCGAGCAAAGGACTTGCAGGCCTGCATGGCATTGTCTTCTGTGGAGTGTAGGCACGTAGTCACCGTCTGGCTACACCCCCCCCCCCCCGGAATCCATTTTAATTTAGCTTCTGATTAATACCCCGTTCATTCCCCAAAACCACAAAGTAGTCTAGGTTTGCAGCCTGCCCTACTGAGCGAGACGAGGAGGAACTTAATCGGTTACATCTGCCCTGAGAAAGGGGCATTGTAAAACTTGTTTTCTTCTTGATGTTGATCGGATCTATTTATATCTCTCTCTCTTCTTCTCTCTCTGTCAAGGCTCAGTTTTCTACTGCAGAGGTTGGTGGCGTCTCAGCCGCCCCTCTGATAACCAGGGAGATCAGGTCCGCTGAGGGACTGATTTCCCTCTCTGCATTCACAGTCCTCTCCTTCGGAATTGCTTTAAAAATATCTGTGTATCCAAAGTGGAATCATGTTTCCACCAAGGGCTGATTCACAAGCAGAGACTGCAAGGTGGTGCCAAACCCTCCTTCTCTCCTTCCTTCCCCTTATCTCATATTCAGAGGTATAGTGCTTTGGTGGCTGGAGGTTCCATTTTGCTGTGAAGGGTGAGCAGCAAAAAAGGGCTATAGAGACCTCCTTGAGATCTTTCTAATAGGTGCTTGGGTCCAATAGATGATTACGATGGACCAGGCTTGTTTTCTCCTGCTCTGGAGGGTAGGACTCAAACCCGTGGCTTCAAGTTACAAGAAAGAGGATTCCGACTCAACATCAGAAAAAAAAAACTTACTGGCAGTAAGAGCTGTTGGACAGTGGAACAAACACCCTCAGGAGGTGGTGGGCTCTCCTTCCTTGGAGGTTTGTAAACAGAGGTTGGGTGGCCATCTGCCATGGCTGCTTGAGCTGAGATTCCTACATTGCAGCGGGTTGGACTAGATGACCTTTGGGCTTCCTTCCAACTGTACGATTCTTTGAGTCTATGGTTCTATGGCAGACTGGTGGTGCTTGAGTCCCTGGGCTTTTTATATGAGAGAGAGAGAGAGAGAGAGAGAGAGAGAGAGAGAGAGAGAGAGATTGAAACTACCCAGTGGGATTTCCCTAAGTTTGCTTTTAAAACCACTGCCTGCAACTGCAAAATAACGGACCAGCGATATTAGAAAGATCCTTTAGCTCAGAGTTTCCTGCAGAGGCAGCTGAACCTGAAAGCTGCAAAGCTCTGCGGGGGACTGATTTGAGGTGCAGTTGCTCCGTATTTCCAGGATTACGCCCTGATATCATCTGTCGGAAACAGCCAACCAGCGTCGAGATCAGAAGTTCAGCGATGGTGCTGGACCACTTCTCCAAACCCTGGTCTTCAGGACTGCCAGTGGCTATTCTGTGTCCTGCAGGCAGAAGGGAGGGAGGGAGGGAGGGTGAGAAACTTTTGCAGAGAGAGAGAGAGGGGAGATGCTTGGTTTGGGGAGAGTGACACTTTGCAAGGCTGGTACCGGGGGGGGGGGGTTGCCACTGGACGGATCCCATTGGCCAGGCCCCCGGACGGCCCCACCCCTCTGCAAGTGTAAAAGAAACCTTCGGAAAACCCTATCTCCAAATGCCTCTTGACCCCATCGCGCTTTGCCGGCTGACCTTATTATACGCCCAGATATATTTATTTATTTGGCTTGGTTGACACCCAGAGAGGACATCCTGGGAGGAAATGACTTTTGAAGCAGCCCCGTATCCCACCTTGCCATGCTGCCCTGACGCCTACCTCCAGCGGTGAGTCTCCTTCTTTCTTCTTCTTGTCAGCCTGTGTTTGCTGTGCAATTTTTTTTTTATCTCTTCTGCTATCAGATGGTGGCAGCTGGCTGGGCCAGGCTCCCTGCACGCCTGTCTGTGCTGTGTGTCTCCGAAGAAATATACCACTTGCTTCACGCTCTGCAAGGCTGATTATTATTTTTGGCCGCCCGGTTAGTTATTGTTCCATCAGAGGCAACCCTCTGTTTTGGCAGTAAATAAAGAGGGGAGGATAGGCAGAAAAGCCTGCCCGGAGGACAGATCGCTTGACAAGTGTCACGCAGAGTGACTGAAGACGAGAAACGACCTTGGGTCCTGCCAGCAGAGTAAAATAATAATAATATCTATATCTGTGTCAATCTGTATGTTGACATCTGCAGGAGACCCAGAGAAGATCCAGTGAGCAAGTGTAGCTGAGTGTGTTCCTAGCTAAATAAATAGTTCCAGAATTCCATGTGCATTCCAGCATGTGCGCACACTGAGAGAGAGCGCCCTGAGCATCTCATTCAGGGGAGAAAAAGGCAATCTTTGGATGCAAAGGAATGTGTGTGCATCAGAATGAACAGGGCAGGTCCCAATATCTGAGATGCTTGAATGCTGTGGATAGTTCCTAAGAGCCTCAGGGTTGCTGGGCTGCATCAAAACAGCCCCCGGGGTTAAACTACTATGAAACTAATGGAGCTTAACCTTCGGGGACCCTAATTCCAGAGGGACCCCAAAAGTGCCTTTTATCCACATTGCAGACCCTCCAAGAGTCCCTATTTTCCAGGGGGAGTCCCAGATTTACAGAAGCTGTCCCAGTTTCTGATTTTTGCTCTTGGAATGCCCTGCTTTTCCTTATTTTCACCAGAGAAATGTTGGAGGGCATGGCATGGCTTTAAAATGTTGGGTCTAGTAGACCCAATCTGTGTCGCATGGCTCAGACTGATAACTTTTTTGTTGTATATTTCAACAAGCCCAAAGTTTGAGATGTTGTAAATGTAGGAAAATTCCTGGCATGGCCTAGTTTTGGGGTGTAAAAATGGCGCCGGGGGGATTTTGCTGAATTGGCAAAGTGTAAGGGAAAACTCTGATGCGGGTGGCACTGTGGGTTAAACCATAGAGCATAGGCAGGGCAGTGGTTTGAATCCCCACGACGGGGTGAGCTCCCGTTGCTCTGTCCCTGCTCCTGCCCACCTAGCAGTTCAAAAGCATGTCAAAGTGCAAGTACATAAATAGGTACCACTCCGGTGGGAAGGTAAACGGCATTTCCGTGCACTGCTCTGGTTTGCCATAAGCGGCTTAATTATGTTGGCCACATGACCCGGAAGCTGTACGCCGGCTCCCTCGACCAGTAAAGCGAGATGAGCACCATAACCCCAGAGTCAGTCACAACTGGACCTAATGGTCAGGGGTCCTTTTACCTTTACCTTAAGGGAAAACTCAGGTGTATGGCGACACGATGGAAAAAGCAACGATGGGAGGAAATCACTATTTGGGGGTGGGCTTCCTAAAAAAGAATATCACAGTGGTTACCTGAACCTCTTTCCTGGTTGTGAAGAAGCTCCCATAACAGTTCAAGCTTCAGGGGCCCCCAAATGTAGGTCTGCCACCTCCCATCATCTGTGCAGAATTTTGTTTCCAAGAAGGGATGGTTCACAAGCAGAGCATGCTAAACGCTGGTAATCCTTCTTCTCGCTTTTGTTTCACATATCTGGCATTTAGAAATATGTTACATAGGTACCATTTTGCTCCAATGGCCATTGCCCGCACGCTCCACCTTGCCTGCTATCCTGTTTTCAAACCATCTAGTCACCTCTGTCCCCCACATCTTGTGCCTGTGGGTTGCAGAAGTTAATGTCCCGCTGCTTGAACAGTCACTTGCTCAGCTTTCAGTGTTTTAGCTTAATCGCATCAACACGAGGACAGTTGGATAGACATAGGCTTTGGTTTTGGCTTTTCCAGATGTTGTGATGGCTTTTCCAGGTTGTGGTGAGCTGGGGATGACGGAAGACACTTTGCACGTGCTCAGAGGCATCCATACTTATAATGGCTGAAATCCCACCTACCTGGGAGGAAGCCCTGTTGAATTCTGTGGGTTTTACCTTTGAGTGTACATGGCTAAGATTGCAGTCCCTACTATCCTGCCCTGGATTTGAACTAGGTCTCAGTTCCTAGGAAACCACCTGCTTCTGGATCTATATATTGGTCCTTGCCATTTCTGACGGATGTCTGGTTGTGTCAAGCTCTCAGTTATTGGGTTCTGATTTGCTTGGAAATCTGATCTTCGGAGACTGTGGTTCAGTGATCGAGTGTTTGCACTGCATGCAGAAGATCTCAGGTTCAGCCTCCGATGGCATTTCAAGGCACGGCTGGAAGACAACCCTGCCTGAAATCTCAGAGAGCTGCTACCAGTCCATTTAGACAACACGGAGCTGACTTACTATAAAGCAGCTTCCAATGTTTGTTTTGACCCGGAAGGCATTCCTCCCCCAGTCTTATGTGTGCAGAGGCTGGGAAGCATGAGGAAGAAAAGGATTCTGCATATGCTCAGAGGTGGACTGTTCTGTGCCACCCTTGTTGCAAAGCTTTAGTCTGACATTGGGAGGGAGAAATGGTTTGGGAACATGCAGAGCCAAGACGAGCTCTGCTATAGGGTTAATACTACTAAAGAAAGTGTGTCTCTGAGTATGTAGAGTGTATATTCTTTTTTGCTATTCGGTATGTGGCATTGGGGATGCAGTTGGCGCTGTGGGTTAAACCACAGAGCCTAGGACTTGCCGATCAGAAGGTCGGCGGTTCGAATCCCTGCGACAGGGTGAGCTCCCGTTGCTCGGTCCTTGCTCCTGCCAACCTAGCAGTTTGAAAGCATGTCAAAGTGCAAGTTGATAAATAGATACCACTCTGGTGGGAAGGTAAACAGCGTTTCCGTGCGCTGTTCTGGTTCACCAGAAGTGGCTTAATCATGTTGGCCACATGACCCAGAAGCTGTACGCCGGCTCCCTTGGCCAGTAAAGCGAGATGAGCGCCGCAACCCCAGAGTTGGTTATGACTGAACCTAATGGTCAGGGGTCCCTTTACCTTTACCTATGTGGCATTAGTGAGCAGAGCTTCCCAGCTAGATGAAATGTGATGTTAAAGCTGATTTTTGGAATTTCACCCATTCATGGCAAAGTCAGGTTTCCTTTCAAGACCTCTTGCATTGCCTAAGAAATGGACTGAGGCTGAAATCCTAACCACGTTGACCCAGAAATAAGTCCTACTGAATTCAGAGGGGCTCTCTGCCAGGTTAGGTGGTAGACTCCCTTTCAGTGGAGGTTTTCAAGTAGAGGTTAGATGGTCATCTGTCTGGGATTCTTGAACTGTGATTCCTGCATTGCAGGGGGTTAGGCTAGATGACCCTTGCGGGTCCCTTCCAATTCTACAATTCTGTGATTCTCAGTGTGGTTACGACTGCAGTCTTGGGCACTTCATTGTGCCTGGGTCTCTTCCGTCGCTGGTGCAAATATCACAGGGCTGTACAGACATATAGCATTTGACTGGGTAGGGTGGTCATGCTGTTTAAAGTAGATAGGAAGATTCAAGGTACCTGCACCAAATCTCTGTTGTCCATATGATATTATCCTCCAAATCTCTCTGTTTCCACACTTTCCCCTCCCTCAATCTGAGGTTTTTTTTCCATACAGTTTCTCCCTTTTGGAGTTCCTTTGCTCTGAAAATGTTGGACTGAGAGAGGGGGAAGTGTGGGAAGGCACTGATTTGGAGGACAGCCAGTGTGGTGTAGTGGTTAGAGTATCAGACTGGCGGACCGGGGTTCAAATCCTCCACTCCGCCATGAAGCTCTCTAGGTGATCTTGGGCCACTCACTTGCCTCTCAGCCGAACCTACCTCATAGGGTTGTTGTTTGGGGGATTAAATGAGGATGGGGGAGAAAACCACGTACGCCACCTTGAGCTCCTTGGGGAGAAAAGTGGAACAGAAATGCAAAATAAATAAGATAAGATAAATACGGACAATGGAGAATTAATGGATGTACAGGAATCGACATAAAAAAGTGTAGGTGAGCCCCCTCTTTCTTTAGCTTAATGGGATTTATTCTTGCATGGAGCTCTTCTTTAATCTGCTCGGCTCTCTTTGCTGTGTTCCTCTTCGCTGCCCCATTTGGCAGGCCTATGTGAAAAGGAGAGGGCCCAGCTCCATCTAGCAGGGAACTTGCGGCGTGAAATTGCGACCAGCTCTTGTACTTCAGCTGGCAAGGCCTGGGGAATGTGGAATCCAGCCCAGGAAAGGGGTAGCATGGAGGAGATAAGAAGGGAGTAGAAGGCAGGTCTGTTTTCCTTCTGAAATAATCCAGGCAACAGACGGTGCCTTACCAGCTTCTGGTTGTAAGGAAATCTCAGCTGCACAGCTGCCCGACTGAAGGGGACTCTCTGGGTTTAGACAGTGTTGGGAAATGGAGAGGGGGGCAGTTGAGATTCCTGCATCGCAGCGGGTTGGGCTAGATGACCCCTGGGATCCCTTCCAACGCTACAATTCTATGATTCTATGACATATTACCATAAAATTATGTGCCTTCCCAGAAATGTCTCTTTCCCGCCGCTGAGACGGAAAGCAACCACAGCCAAGTCCACGATGGCTCTGTAATTGCGATCAAAGGCTCGATGCTCCCAGCTATGCAATTACACCCCCTGCCCCCCCCCAGAGATTAGACAGGGGGAGGGTTGTTTGCAGACCAGCCACTCCCATTTTGGAAATGACAGCCAGACGATGCTACAGCTCCGAGGTGTAGGGGCTCGGATTAAGGGCGGCTTTGAAATTGTTGCACCTGTTCCCTCTAAAACACAACGCTTTCTGCTCCACCCCTCCCTGCCCCCAGCGCCTTCACTCGGTGCTAAAAGTCCTCGACACAAAACCGCCATCAGCCACGAACGTCTGTATAATTCTTCCCACCACATTGGTGGCTAAGTGGGTCGTGTGAAGAGACCTGTAGAACCGCTAGTAGC